AAGCTAGATCTTAAAAGTCAATACAACTTCTGTCTGACTCTCAGGGTGCTCATCCTTGGAGACTCAAGCTATAAGGAAACTCAAACTAGCTCACAAAGAAAGACCAGTGGTGTGCTTAATGAAGCCAGTTGAAATTGGCTAACCAGAGGCAACTGTTAAACCTTCAAGAATTTTCTGAGGCAACTGTCAAACACAGCCATGATTACAAATTACAAATTAGATTACAAATTAGATTATGTCAACTTACAATTAAATAAACAAAGGTATTAAAAACAAAGGTAATAAATAAACCATCATTTTTTAAAACTGTTACTACATTTTACTATTACCTATGTTCTCTTTTTTTTAATTACCTATGTCCTAAAGGTTATTAATGTCAATTTTTTAAATGTGGTAGAAATACTATATAATATGCTACTGCTACTATGTATTCCTTCCCAACTCTAGAAAAATCAAACTTTAGGAACAGAACTACTCTAAGCCTTCTCTTCCAAAATTTAAAAACAATCCTTAAAAAGATGAAACTGATCCACAAAGAATTTAAGTGCATGCCAGAATAAAGTCCAACATTCTTTAAAGAAATCCCAAACCCAACACATGATAACACAGAATTCAAAATATCTGTTATCCAAACAATTACTTACTAAACATGAAAAAAAGCAGGAAATAATAATTAAAGGATACAGACCCAGAAATAACAGAGATGACAGAATTACCAGATATGGACATGAAAACACATTATAAATACATTCCACATAATCAAAAAGGTAAAGAAAAACATGAACATAAAGAGAAGCAAAATGAAAGATTTGGATTTTGGAGTTCTGTTTGGTTTTGGTAACAGCTTTTCACTATGTTTCACAGAGAGAAAAAGGTGATTTCATTTAAAAGAACAAAATAGAACTTCTAAAGATTAAATGCACCTATCTGAGATTAACATTTTACTGAATGGGACATACGGCACATTAGACACCACAAAAGAAAAGATTATGGAATTTGAAAACATAGCAGGAGAACTGATCCAAAATGAAGCACAAGGAGACATAAGACTGGAAAACAAATAAAGGAGCTGGACTGGCAGATGCTCCTTTCCCTTTTTTTGAGCACCATTTCTAACAAGTCACAAAAAGTCTTGTTTCAAAACATTCTAAGTCAATTGCCTTGTTGACAACAGAAAAGATTTATCATTCTCTTTAAGTATACATCTCCATTTCTATAGTTATTTCATACTAAGGCTTTCATGTTGACCCTAAATTTCACCTTTTGGGGAAAGAAAGATATCTTACATGCTTGATCCACTGAACTGAGACTTTTTTTTTTGCTTTTTTTTAAATCTCATATTCTGCCTAGTTTTCTGGGGATAATGAAGAAAGAAGGATTTTCTGTTAAACTTTATAACAAATCCTTTGAGGCCAACAACTAAAGAAATAGTGCTCAATCATCTATAAATTCAACACCACCCCTAGAAGTCAACAATCTCAGGAATGGTGGTTTTATCCAAAGACTTTTAGCATACAGAAAGAGCACTTCCATGCTAAAAAAAGGACAGGGTAGATTTACATAACCTGACATTGAAAATTGTTCAAAATGTTAAGTGGAAAATGATAGCTGCAAATTAGTACATATAATATAGTACAATTTACAAAATACAGTTGAACTTAAACGACATTGTTTAAACTACATGGGTTCACTTACTTGGGGATTTTTTTCAATAAATACAGTACACTACTATAAATGTATTTTCTCTTCCTTAACATTTTCTTTCCTTTAGCTTACTTCATTGTAAAAATATGGTATGCAACATATATTACATATAAAATATGTTTTAATAGACTGTTTATGTTATCAGTAGGGTTTCCTATCAATGGTAGGCTATTAGTAGTTAAGTTCTGGGGAAGTCAAAAAGTTCTACATGGATTTTCAACTGTGCAGGGCATCAGCGCCCCTTACCTCCATGTTGTTCAAGGGCCAACTGTATTATTACTAAGTAATTTGTGGGTCTTTGTGTGTACATGTAGATGTGTATAAATAGAGAAACCTGGAAAAATATTCAGTAGCCCCCTAAAATTACCACAAGGTCTCACTAAAAGAGAAGGATGATGGGGTCTTTCATTGTCTACCCTTTACATATTTGTATTATTTGAAATTTTTATAACAAGAATGCTTTACTTTTATAAGCAGGACAAAAATTAGCTAAGAGAAATAAAAGAGAAAATGGGGAGAACTATAGGCAAATTGCAGAACTCCAGCTCTACCTCCACACCCCCAAAGCCCTACTCAAACCACCACTTATGGAGGGGCCACTCTACTCAACCACAATGGAGACCTTTGTCCATAAAGGAAAAAAATGGCACAACTCTCCAATAACATCCTCTGCTCTCTGGAGAATACAGTATCTGTGCCACAACTAGTAAGAACGAACAATCATCACCATAGGACTCACCAGCATTCCCAAACTTTATTGAATCACTTCTTCCTTCCTTTTCTTGGACTTTCTTTGCTTTCTTTTGAACAGGCCCATCACTCTCCAGCGGTCTCTTTTTACTGCTGCCAACTTCTGCAACCTATATTAGAAAATGATGTGTTATCTCTAATCTCAAAACTTGATGTATGTGAAATAATTTAAGCTTCACTTCTGAATAACAAGGTTCTTGCCATCCCACTACTTATGAAATCACATACCTTTAGACTTGGAAAGAACTATATAGATACTCTCCATACTGTTATGAAAGACAATGTGGAGACCAGAAGTCATGAACCTCAGCACTTGAAGCCCTGCTAGCATTAATTAGAACCAAGGCTTATACCTTTCTTTACTCAATCAGCCTTCACCTATCTCAGATTATAAAACCTGAGTCACCCTACTTACCTATGTTAAATAAAATACCTTTTAAAAAAATATATCCATTTAGGAAAGGTAAAATTAGATACATAACAAAAGAACACTACCATTTTTGAAACGTCAGTGTTAATTGTAATTTAACTGTTTCATGTTCAAACTTGGCTTATGTTCACCACCGAAGATACCACAAGACTATAAACTATGTACTGGCAGGAATTCTGTCAAAAATTAAGTCCTTCACAAAATACCCGCTACATAGTAGGTGTAAAATAAAATCTTGGTATATTCATGAAATGTAGACTATCATCAAAAATCAAAAACAGGGGCACCTGGATGGTTTAGTCCGTTAAGCGTCTGCCTTCAGCCCAGGTCATGATCCCAAGGTCCTGGGATGGAGTCCCATAATGGGCTCCCTGCTGGGTGGGGGAGTCTGCTTCTCCCTCTACCCCTCCCCCTGCTTGTGTGTTCTCTCCCCAAGTGCTCTCTGCCAAATAAATACAATCTTTAAAAAAAATATCAAAAACAGGAGAGGAGAACTCACTCTATGAAAGAAATATAAATGAAGACTTTGTAGCTAGGCTGTCATCTGTATTAAAACCTGGAGGGTGGCTAAAAGTGAGTCTGCAATCCCTTTCCACATCCTCAGCTGTTGTTATTGTTTTTTTTTTTAATTTTATTTTTTATAAACATATATTTTTATCCCCAGGGGTACAGGTCTGTGAATCGCCAGGTTTACACACTTCACAGCACTCACCATAGCACATACCCTCCCCAATGTCCATAATCCCACCCCCCCAACCTGTTATTGTTTTTTTTTAATTTTATTTATTTATTTGTCAGCGAGAGAGGGCACAAACAGGGGGAGCAGCAAACAGAGGGAGAAGCAGGCTCCAGCTGAGCAAGGAGCCCAATGCAGTACTGGATCCCAGGAGCCTGGAATCATGACCTGAGCTAAAGACAGATGCTTTACCGACTGAGCCACCCAGACGTCCCAACACATCCCCAGGAAGTGTTGCAATCAGGAAGATACTGCATCAGGAAGCCTCGGGGAGGGCTCAAGCTTGGACTTTCCCTGCTGGCAGTGTCCCTGGGAAAAATAAAACCAACTATTTTACTCAGGTGAACGGTGGTAAGCAACAGGAAGGATTCAATGACTAACCATTCACATCTGCACTCCTTTAAACCTAATCCAGCCAAACTGTGTATCAAACTTTACAATCAGCCACAAGAAGTGTAATCACTGAGGAACTGTACAATATGACTGCTTTTACCCTATTCGCTTGAAATATTGAGCACTGCTGTTGCATGCTTAAAAACTAGAGATTTAGCGGCAATTTACTTCCGGTTACTTAACCAAGTATATACAAATAAGGTAAATAAAGCTCCTCTTTAACCTTCAACGCAGATTTTTTATTTTTAAGGCTGGGGAGGTAAAATGGAGGTTAAAAGATGTATCCTTTGCCCACAAGCCCCTACCCTCATCAGAATGGAAATCCGGAGACCTGAGCTCCTGTTTCGAGTCTGCCATTAAGTACCCGCGCGACCTTGGCCTCAAGTCTATTACTCCTAGGACAAACTACAAGGTGAACTGCGCGGAGAATGGAGGCCAGCCCGACTTTTCCCGCCTTCTTTCAGAGCCCTGCCCCTCTCTCTTCCGGCCCTCTCATCTCGCCGATTCTCGCGCACTATCCCCGCCTCCTCCCGCTCCACCCACAAGCACGGTTTCCGCCCCCGCCCATCTTGCCCCGCCCCACCTCCCGCTGGCCCCGCCCTGTCCTAGACCAAACCCACCACGTGTGGCGGCAACCGTGGCGGGAAAGTGGACGCTAGGGGCGCTGCGGAGTCAGAGTCAGGGTCGGCCTTGTCGGCTGTACCCGTGGGGGACGAGGTGGACTTCAGGCTTCCCGTAGACTGGAAGAATCTGCTCAAAACCGCTTGCCCTGCAGGGGCTGGGCTGGTGGTAGCCGCACGGCCAAAGGCAGGTTTCCGGCCCGACATCGCACGATACAGAGCAACACCACCCAGGAAGGGCCGAGCCAGGAGCGCGAGCCCGTGGCCGCAAGTCCCCGGCGTCTGCGGGCGCGAGCACGTCACGACCCTGGGGTGCGCCGGGGCGGGGGGCGGAGTCTCGGCTGCACAAATGGGATCGAGGAGGCGGGGTGGCCACAATTTCGCGCGAAGCGCGGCCGGGTTCCTACGGCGGCGGCGAGCTAGCTAGGAGGTGTTTACAGCTGCTGTCATGGTTCGTACGCTAAACTGCATCGCCGCTGTTTCCCAGAACATGGGCATCGGCAAGAACGGGGACCTGCCCTGGCCCCCGCTCAGGTACCTGCCGAGCCGGGGGTCGATTGGGTTTGGAAGAGCTAGCGCGGGGTCGCGCAGACACTTGGCGGCGGGAGGAGGGGGACGGACTTGGCACCCTAGAGGACGCGAGCTGGGCCTGGGCTTCCTTCCGCCATCGGGAGCCGGGAGGCCAAGTTATTGATTTCCGTCTGCCCCTGCCTCCCGGCGAGAATATGTCCCCCCGCGGCTCCCTGCCTCAGAACAAAGTCCCTGTCCTTTCCCCTCCACTCCACTCGCTCCCCTCACCGCCAGCGCAGCGCCTGTGGGTCGCGTTAGAGCTGGAGCCCGCGGGATAATATTCTGAGTAACGCTGTTTGTCTAACTTGTAGGAACGAATTCAAGTTTTTCCAAAGAATGACCACAACCTCCTCAGTAGAAGGTAATGTGGGATTTTTAGGAGAAGATTGACGTTTGGGAAACATCTTGCTGAGTAAGCTTACCAGTGAAGATTTTTACTTAAATGAAAAGTTATCCATGTTAATCTGTGACTTTTTGCCTTACCACTCATTTGTATGCAGTTTCCAAGGTTTGTCATAACCTTAAAAAAAAAGGTTCTTTCAAATTTTATATGGGCAGACGTACAGTTGAGGTACTGGGCAGAATTAGCATCTAGCTGCAGGTTTCAGTGAAGATTAGAGCATGGAAAAGAAATCAGAGGAGACTTTTGCCATTGTCCCTGCAGGATATGATAGGGCCTGAAGGAGGGCAGTGAAGAGGAGAGAAGTCCAAAAAACGGTTCCATGATACTCAGTATGGAGATAAGGAAGGCGAAGGGGATGCAGGAAGGGATCCAGGATGAACCCATAGATGCTAAATTTTTTTTTTTAAGATTTTTTTAATTTATTTATTTAACAGGCAGAGATCACAAGTAGGCAGAGAGGCAGGCAGAGAGAGAGGGGAGGAGCAGGCTCCCTGCGGAGCAGAGAGCTGGACGCGGGGCTTGATCCCAGGATTCCGGGATCATGACCTGAGCTGAAGGCAGAGGCCTTAACCCACTGAGCCACCCAGGTGCCCTCCATAGATGCTAAATTTAATGACAGTTGAATAATCCTGGGTGAGGTGGAGAATAAAGGAGTGGACAACAGTGTGCAGTTGTTAATAGTGCTAATTTTGAGGTTTGGGGATTGCAGATACAGGGGAGTAGATGAGTTGAGCTGCTGGAGAGAAGAGGATAACCAAGGAAAAGAATATGGTGGTGGGATACTCGTTTAAAACCTAAGAGACATGTATTTGGTCATAGGAGAAGGAATAGCAGAATAAAAGGGAAATGGTAGTCAGCCAGAAGCACATGCAGCATAACTTTAACAGGACAGATACAGGTTTGTGGACCTGGGACTTAGGTCCGTGGTAGAGACAAGATAGCAAGAGCTTGAAGCTTAAGGAATTGATATGAACCACTCTCTAGAATCCAAAGTATGATCTAGTCATAGGAAAAGCATCCAATGTCTGGCCTGTTTGCTAGTGTTCAGTAAATACAGTACTTGTTGGATGAGTGGATGGAAGGGTACTGAAGGTATTTTTTTTTCTTTTTGAAGGCTTTTTTTCTTTTTTCTTTTCCTTCTATTTCCCCCCAACGTCTCTGTATGCTCTTCATTTATGTCCACCTTAATTGTTAGGCCAGGTCTGTACCATTTCTCTCACCAGAATTTCTCACCTAATGGCTCTGTTATTTTTGATACTTGATATCTCTTTACTAGCATCTAGAGCTCTGTCTTTGAAAATGCAGTGCAAATCACATAAGGGGCACCATGAATAATTGGGGTTTTAATTTTTGGAGGAAAAAACTTTCCAAATACAGAAAAACACTTAGTCTTACTACTTGTATTTTATAACTGTTAGTATTTTTAAATAAAATCATGCTAATGATAATTCTTTGAAACAGACACATGTACTTCTTTTGCTAGCCTGTCAGAATATATCAAGAATTATAGAAATGTGTATAATCCTTTATCCAGATATCTGACTCCCAGGATTTTTTCCTAAGTAATTAAACCAAAAATGGAAGCTATGTGTATAAAGTTTCCATAGAAGCATTATACTTGAAAGAAGCACAATTGAAAGTGTTATAGCTTTTATGGGGTGCCTGCGTGGCTCAGTGGGTTGGGCCACTACCTTCGGCTCGGGTCTTGATCTCAGGGTCATGGGATCGAGCCCCACATCGGGCTCTCTGTTCAGCAGGGAGCCTGCTTCCCTCTCTCTCTCTGCCTGCCTCTCTGTCTACTTGTGATCTCTCTCTGTCAAATAAATAAATAAAATCTTTAAAAAAAAAAAAAGTGTTAGAAAGTGTTACAGCTTTTTAACTGAGTGGAATATTAAACACTTATCTTTAAAAGTATGACTGTTAGGGGCGCCTGGGTTGCTCAGTGGGTTAAGCCACTGCCTTCGACTCGAGTCATGATCTCGGGGTCCTGGGATCGAGCCCCTCATTGGGCTCTCTGCTCAGCGGGGGAGCCTAAGCCCCCCTTTCTCTCTGCCTGCCCCTCTGTCTACTTGTGATCTCTCTCTCTCTCTCTCTCTCTCTCTGTCAAATAAATAAATAAGTAAATCTTTAAAAAAATAAAATAAAAGTATGACTATTAATATGCCTACAAAGTATACAAATATGAATAATACTATCATATCAAACAGTTAAACAAGTCTTCAATCCCCACAGTAACCCTAGAAGTAGGAACTACTGTTATCTCCATTTTATAAATAAGGAAAGTAAGACACAGAAGATTAACATGACTTGTTCAGTAGATGACTGAATACACTGAACTTGAGCACTTTGCCCCAGAATCTTGGCTCTTCACTATTATACATGATTGCAGTTGAGTAAATATTGGATATGAATTGGATAACACTATAGGGGGGAAAGTTACTATATTTAGGAAATGGGTGATAAATGTAAATTTTGGTATGCCTGTTTTAAATTTTTATTTCCAGTGCAAATCCACTAGATGTCACTATGACAATCCTATCTCTGTGTGTGTGTGTATGAATATATGGAACTATATACTCCCCAAATATTCTTTTTATGTGATTTTCTAGGTAAACAGAACTTGGTGATTATGGGTAGAAAGACATGGTTCTCTATTCCTGAGAAGAATCGACCTTTAAAGGATAGAATTAATTTAGTTCTCAGCAGAGACCTCAAGTAAGTGCTATAATAAATTCACCACAAAAAAATCATGTTTCATTTCTTAGGGTGGAGGTCAGTGTATGACAGATAGTGTAAATACAGTTTATTGATGAAGCTGCCTAATATAAAGGTAATTTACAGAAAATGAATAAGCAGTTACTTGACAGTAACTTACTCTGCTATTTAAGGGATTGATTTCACCACTGTAAAAAGTCACATTAAATCTCAAATGTGGTAACATATTTGCCAGTTTCCTTAAACTGTTACTCTGTAGGCTCAAGTATCATTTGTATAAAATAATTAGTAACTTTTTTTCTAGTTTCACATATGTTTTGGGATTTGCCAGGATTAAGTGTTTTATCCCCGTTCTGGACTCTGCCCTCAATATAATAAGATAGAAATTTTAGGATGGGCTAAAAATCAGTCATAATCTTATGTCCTATTCCTAGTTTACCACAACACCCAAATAACATTTTATACTTGTATTCCTTACCCAGTGTCTACAGGTAAAAAATTTGAAAGTACTGAAGTCAACCTAAGGATCCTAGAGAGAAAGGAATGTCTCCACTTGGCCTGTGCTGGGAATTTTCCTGTCCTCCAGTCTAACATTGGAGTACATAGTTACTGATGCTTGGAAATGCCTGGGGATTTCATTCCAAGGAATTAGTTTATACATTTGTGGGTGCCAGCTAGATAAGTCCAAAATGTGGGGCAGGCCATAGGGAAGGGCATGCTGGAACTTTACAGCAAGGGCTGAAGTTGCTGACTGCAGGTGGAATTTCTTCTTCAAGGAAGCCTCAGATCTGCTCTGAAGCCTTAATACTGATTGAATCCTGCCCATCCATACTGAAGTTACTGAATTATCAACTTTAATCACTTCTATAATATGCCTTCACAGCAACACCTAGATTAGTGTCTGAATAATCAAGGACTATAGCCCAACCAAGTGAACCCCTCAAAGACCATCACATCATGGGAAGGAAAAAACATTATACACCGTAGGCTAAGGGGGATCAGGCTTATATAGATTTTCTACCAAGTCCTTCCTAGGATAGCATAGGTAAAAACGTGAAAGAAGATATACCAGAATATTTGCACTGGTTACCTCTGGATGATGAGGAATATGTTGATGTGCATCTTGCCATCTGCTGCAGTCTTCATACTGTTCTCTTCCTTTTGGTTGCTAGGATATTCTGGTTATCTCTTCGCTTGGTAGAATCCAAATTCACAGACTGTATTGCCATTCCCAGAGACTCTTTAGTAGCATATTCTTGAATACTACTCAAGTTTATTTATGGCTAGCTTGAGCTAAAACAAACATAAAGAAATCTCAGTGGGGAACATACTCAATTGAGCCAGCAAATCTCCTCAAATGATGAGTTTAATTTCTTCTTTATGACCCCCACCTGTGGTGTACGTAATTGGGTTTGGTTGTTTTCTTATGTATTTATATATAACATTTGTTGCTATATCTCGCTTGTTTTTTTAAAGGCAGAAAATTTCAAGTCTTTATTATCAAGGAAAAAAGGTTATCAGTCATGAACACGTCTTAGAGTTTATTTTTTGCCCTTCTGGTTCCCTACTTGAAGGTCAATTACACACATAACCTGAGCACCTGCTGTGTGCCAGACAGTGCTAGATTTACTCTTGTAATCACTGTAGCTCATGCAGTCTTTTGGAAATACTCAATTTTTCATCACCACCCTCTAATGTAAGACGAAACTGAGTCCTCAAAGTAATCCCAGAATTTGCTGCCAAATACTAATTATTTTGGATAACTAGTTCCCTAAAGTATAGGGACACAGTGCTTTTCCAAAGCTATCTAGACAATCAAGTTGAGGCTTTAAAAGAAATGTTATGTAGCCATATTTGGAACACAGATTGACATTTTCTCAAAATGTTAAACATAGAGTTATCATATGACCCAGCAGTTCTACTTCTTGGTTTATGAAATGAAGGAAAAATAAAAACGTATGACCACACAAGGTCAAATGTTCATAGCAGCATCATACATAATTGCCAAAATAGAAACATCCCAGATGTCCACCAGCTAATGAATGGATAAACAAAGTAGCTTATATCCATACAATGGAATATTATTCCACAATAAAAGAAGAACCACTGGGGCGCCTGGGTGGCTCAGTGGGTTAAGCCGCTGCCTTCGGCTCAGGTCATGATCTCAGGGTCCTGGGATCGAGCCCCGCATTGGGCTCTCTGCTCAGCAGGGAGCCTGCTTCCTCCTCTCTCTCTACCTGCCTCTCTGCCTGCTTGTGATCTCTCTCTGTCAAATAAAAAAAAAAAAACTTTAAAAAAAAAAAAAAAAAAAAAGAAGAACCACTGTATGCTACAATATGGATAAAGTTTGAAAACAGTATGCTGACTGAAAAAAGCCAGAAACAAAAGGCCACATAATTCCATCTATGTGAAATTCCTAGAATCAAATTCATAGACAAACTAGATTACTGGTTTTCTTGGAGAGGGTGGGCGTGGGGAATGAATGCTAACAGATACAGGGTTTCTTTTTGGGGGGATAGGAATGTTCTAAAAGTAGGGTGTGGTGGAGCGCCTGGGCAGCTCAGTGTGTTAAGCCTCTGCCTTTGGCTGGGATCAGGATCTCAGGGTCCTGGGGTCGGGCCCCACATTGGGCTCCCTGCTCAGTGGGGAGTCTGCTTACCCCTCTCTTTTTGCCGGCCTCTCTGCCTACTTGTGATCTCTCTCTCTGTCAAATAAGTAAATGAAATCATTAAAAATAAATAAATAAAAGTAGGTAGTGGTGATGGTTTTACAACTCTATGACTACACTTAAAAGTTGCCAAATTCTACGCGTTGAAAGGGTAAATTGTACAGTATATGATTTACATCTCAATAAAGTATTTTTTTTAGGCTTCAGAACCAAAAATTAAAGTAAATTTTACCATAATGCTGTAACTTTGACAGCATCTTCGATAAATCCAAAATTCCTCCCATGATATAAGATGTTGTAAATTGTCTCCAGCCCATAAAAGTTACCTGACATTTCATAGTAGTATAATTTTTATGGTCTCACTATTATCATCCACAGTGATTAAAGCTTTCTCTCCTTTCTCCCCACCACCCACACATTTAGTATAGCAAAGACTTAATCTGTCTTCTAATGTCTGCTCTGGTACCTACTAATTTTGTGGCTTCAAGTTTTATTAACTTTAAGCCTTGCTGAAACCCAGTTTGCTTATCTACTAAATGGGATTAATAATGAGAACTTCTTAGGGTGATTTTGAGGATTAATTGAAATTTTGTGTATTAAATTTCTGGCACACAGAGAGTACCCTATCAATATCCGCTCCTACTCTCCCAACCATTGCTATTTGAGCAAAATTACCTTATTTTCTATCTTATAGAAAATATTAATATTAATGGAAACACAGTGAACAGGCTTGTGTTCTCACTTTTGCCCCAACATCTAACTTTGTTCTTCTTTCCCTCAGTTTTAAGGTTCATAATCAGAACCCTCTCCCTTGCCCCCACCGCTTTTTATTCTAGACTTCCATTTTCCCATGTCGTCAAGACCTTGCTGTGTTGTCCCACCCTTTATTATTATTTTTTTTAAAGATTTTATTTACTTATTTGACAGGGATCACAAGCAGGCAGAGAGAGAGAGAGAGAGAGGGGAAAGCAGGCTCCCTGCCGAGCAGAGAGCCTGATGCAGGGGTTGATCCCAGGACGCTGAGATCATGACCTGAGCCGAAGGCAGAGGTTTAACCCACTGAGCCACCCACCACCCTTTACTAAATTTAAACCTCACCACAGATTACTTCTACTTTGAACTTTCTTGGAGCTTTTTGTTAAATAACTTTAGTGACTTCAGTACAAACCTCAGTCATAACATCTATCGCTTTTGTGTTTTGAACATGTTTTTCTCTCTCTCTGCTAAGGGATCTTTCTCCAAGGAGTATTCTCCCTCATCACCGCACCCAGAAGATACATCCCCTCTTCTCATCTGGCATCCTCCATGCATCCCCTTTGCGTGTCCTTCACACAGTGGCCACTGCTGAGATATTTCTCTGCCTGCCAGTGGTATAGGGAGTGCTGTTCTTTTTCTTTTTGTCTCTATTCCCAGCATTTAGCATATCCCTTAGCAAAGCAGGGATTCAGAAATTTTCACGGAATAAATGACCAATAGGTGATTTATAAATCTAGAACCATCCTGTTTTCTAACCTGCCTTTCCCCCCCATTTGATATATTGGAAGATTAATTTCTATAAATATTTGTAGGGGCTGCATAGTATTCAATTAAGAGGATAGAGCCTACTTGAACCAATTTTCAATAGTCGGACATCCCATTTCAAAGACTGAGTTTGAAAGGCTTTAAATGGAACTCTCTTTTTTTTTTTTTTAAATTTTGGTTAAGATATGATTCTAGCCTAGGGCTTTTTGTTTTCCAATAAGCTTTCCCAACCGTCTCTAGGGAAATTGAGCCAGAATTTCATCTGCCACATCATCCTCTTTCACATCAGGCACAGTGGAAAAGATAATGTTTATATGGTACCCTGCGGTAATCAAATGAGGCTGCTCAAGGCCAGAGGACACTGGTCTTAGGGATTGCCTAAATTAGGCCACACCCTCCTGAGGTCTGAGGGTTCTAGAATAGGACACCTGACCATCAGCTGAGAATCTATTGTCTGTGTGGGAATTTGCAGCTCAGGACTCCAGCATCAGGCTGCTGGAGTTCAAATCCCAGGTCCACCATTTCCTAGCTCTCTAACCACTGGTTTCTTAACGTCTCAGCCTCAATATCCTCTATAAACAGGAATAAAAGTACTTACAAAGGACTGCTGTTCGCATTAAGTGGTATGATGCATGTAAAGCACTGCCTCATCCCACTATATGGGAGAACAAGGGGGCACTGCATAAATGTTAGATATTTTCTTTCTACTATAACTATCCATCAGGTAAAAAGCAGCCTCTTTTGAATAGGGCCTTTAAAGAGAAGGATGGAGAGGCACCCGGGTGGCCCAGTTGGTTAAGTATCTGCCTTCGGTTCAAGTCATGATCCCAGATTCCTGGGATCAAGCCTGGCATTGGGCTCCCTGCTCATCAGGGAAGCCTGCTTCTCCCTCTCCCTTTGTCCCTCCCTCTGCTTGTTCTCTCTCTCTCTCTCTCTTTCTATCAAATAAATAAATAGAATCTTAAAAAAAGAAAAGGATGGAAATATCACTAGAGTGCCTATAATGTACATTACCTTTCTTTTAATCCTCATCCCAGCCCTCTGAGAGAATTCGACTCTTAAGTTTGTAGCAAGATATCAAGCATATCCACTTGTTTCTTGACTGCATACAACCACATACCAATTATCTCTTGTCAGGGAATACAATCTCTGTTAGCTTGAGATAAATATAGGAAGGAAATTTAGCAATGAAATAAGTCACAATATTGAGTGCTTGCTATATTCTGTTTACTTTGGTAGTTTTAGGATTTGTGCTTTCACAGAATGAATACAGTGGGCTAATGAACTCAAACATTAGCTCAACTTTTTGCTAATTTTTTTCTACCCGTCTTGGATCAAGGGTTTCCTGTGAAACTTATTCCTAAACTGCTAAGTAGCAACATTTTGCAGAATCATTTCCTCTATGTCTCTATGATAATTAAAATCTGAAACAAATCCTTTTTTTTCCTTTTCCAGACTCACTATGAAAGGGCAAAGAAGTAGTCTTCACCTTAGGCCCTTGCACCATTTCAAGCCATTGTTCCACAATCTACACAAAATGTGTACCCCGTTAATTTAAAGTCCACACCAACTATTTATACCACCTTCTAAATTATTTTGCTATAACCCACCAACTTCTAGGATGCCCCTTCCAGTTCTTCTCATATGTCAGTTCCTAAGTCACCATTTTCCATTCTACCCCGACTCCTATCATCATTCCTGATTTTAGCATCCTCAAATACTAACACCACCTTAACTCTATTTCAGGCATTCTAGACTACCTTCTCTCCAAGTTCAAATCTGTTTCTTATTCAGTTCTTCCCCGAGCCTCATCCAACCTAGTCGCTGCAGCTGCCCTGACATCTTAGAGAATCCCTTGGCTCATTTAACCTCACACAGGCCTCCATATCTTTTCCAGCTTTTAATCAAAATATACTCTTTGTGCTCTTAACTCCTTTAGAGATGACAAAGAGTGAAATAAGTAAAATGTCAAAGAGGTGAGGGAGGAGGCAGCCAAAAGAATGAATGTCTCCATTAGATCTTAATTAACTATTGTTATAACTACAAGTTCAAAGGCAGTTATATAATTTTTTAAAGCATCAGTCTGAGAACTTGACATTGAATTGTAATTTCTGTTCTCTAATTACAATGGAAGCCAAATTTTACATGTTTCAACATTTATAAAGGGAATTACAGCCCTCCCCCAACTCCAACAACCAACCCCCCGCCAAAAAACAGTTGTGGAGATAGGGAGAGATTAACCTGAAGATCTAACCCTGAAATTAATTAACTTTTCCTCCTTTGGATTTTTTTAAATTTTTAAAATTGGGGTTGGGCTATGGAGGGACAAAGGGAGAGAGAGAATCCCAAGCAGGCTCCATGCCCAGGACAGAGCCCAACACAGGGCTTGATCCCACAACCCTGAGATCCTGACCTGAGCTGAAATCAAGAGTCAGACATTCAGGTGCTTAGCCAACTAAGCCACCCAGGTGCCCTTCCTTTGGATTTTTAATTACAGAAAACAACATGCTAATTTATTAATACTTCTTCCATCTCTACATGTTTGAAACATGAAAAATCTTTTAACTCATTCCCCATTCATCACATATTAAGAGTATGAAAATCATTCTAGGGCCTCCTGGGTGGCTTAGTCAGTTGAGCTTCTGACCCTCAATTTCTCAGGTTTCTCAATTTCTCAGGTCGTGAGACCAAGCCCCACATCAGGCTCTGAGCTGAGCTTTGAGCCTGCCTAAGATTCTCCTTCTCCCTCTCTCTCTGCCCTAACCCCCAACCCCCACACTCATGAGCATACTCTCTCTCAAAAAAACCCAAGCAAACAAAAAAACCATTCCATGCTAAAGTCATTCAAACATGCTACTCTCTAACATTTTATTATAAATCTTTCAAACGTGCAAAAAAAACCTTATAGTAAATACCTGTATATTCACCACATACATCCTACCATTAATGTTCTACTATGCTTGTTTTACCATTCATCCATACATTAATTGGTCTTGTTTTTTTTTCATGCATTTCAGAGTAACTTGTAGACATTATGTTTTCCCTTAAATACTTCAGCATACATATGATTAACTAGAGTTCAGTATTTCATTAGCTTTATTCTTTTAAGATAAATATATACAGTGAAAATATAAATAAATATATACAATGAAATATACAAGTCTTAAATGTATTTTGCTAAATTTTGACAAATGTATGCACCTTTATAATCCCATATCAAAAATAGAGAACATTACCATAACCCTTCAAAAGTTCCCTTATGCCTCTTCCCAGTCAATCTTTAACCCCATCCCTCTGGAGACAACTATTCTTATACTATTTTTCCGCCATAAATATCACAAGACACCAGAAGTGTTTCTGTTTTTTGATTCATTGTGAACCATACATACACAAATGTGGTTTCTTTAAAGGATTCATATTTATGATGATTTGGGTTTTATAATTAATTGCTTAATATGATTAGGTTTTATAGAAATTATTTCTAATTCTTTTTTTAACCTCAGGGAACCTCCACAGGGAGCTCATTTTCTTGCCAAAAGTTTGGATGATGCCTTAAAACTTATTGAGCAACCAGAATTAGCAAATAAAGTGGACATGGTTTGGATAGTGGGAGGCAGTTCTGTTTATAAGGTAGGTAAAATTATAAAGAAATGTTCTACCCCACTTTCTTTCAGCTCCCCTGCCATCTGAACTTTAAAAAAATTAAGCCATGAGCAAAGGAAGCATATTATCCCCACTGTTAGCTAGACATATTGTCAATTTGAATTATTCATTTTAGATACTATCATGAAAACTAAATAAAAATATAAAAGTGAGTTTTTAAGCCTGTTAGAGTTTATTTTCAATTCAAAATAGTTGATGTTTCTAATTTAAAAACATTCTAAATCCTTCCCTTAGAATCATACTTGCATTGCACTGTTTTCTGCTCTCTGGATGTGCCTTGATATACTGAATTATTCCCCTTTTTTTCAAGGATATATATGTTCTCACTGATAAAGGGATGGGGCTCTCAGTTGCGTATACTGACTAGATGTATATGAATTTGTGAAAAGCAGAAAACTTTCCCTTAACAATTTTTATATAATATGAGGGTATGGGGAAAATACTATATGATTTCATAATATAAGGAAAAACAGGTAAAAGAGAAAATAGTCTGCACTTTTTTTGGTACACTCATCATGCCATGAATTCATAGGGAATGGGTTCCAGCATCTCAGCCTCCCCTGGGTACAGCAGGCTGGTGCTTCACTTGAACCCAAGTACCTTTCTCTATGCTTCCTTCTTTTCCTGATCATTTTCTTTCACACACTTCAGGAAGTTATCTCAGCTCTTGAGGGCTTAATATGATGAATATGCACATTAATTCTCTTGGCAAGAATCTTGTCCTTCAGTTTTTTTCAACAGTGCCAACGACATGCTGTACCCTTGTAGACTCTTCTAGCTTTGCCGTGTCAGCATTCGTGGAGTGTTCCTGTTTGAATAGTGCCCTTTCCCTTGATGTCCACAATATCACCTTTCTTGTAGATTCCCATGTATGTGGCCACAGGAACAACTCCATGTTTTCTAAAAGGCCAAGAGAACATATAGCAGATACCTCTCCTCTTTCCCTTGGTGCTAGTCATTTTGGTAAATTACTGGAAGACGGAGGCTCTGACCCAAAGCTTTTTTTTTTTTTTTTTTTGGTAAGATTTCATTTTTAAGTAATCCCTACAGGGATTACTTAAAAATGAATCCCAATGTGGGGTTCAAACCCACAACTGCAAGATCAAGTGTCACACACTCCACAGACCGAGCCAACCAGGTATCCCAAATTATTCCTTATTCTTGATACCAAAATTTTCAGCTTTCAAAATTTTTGAGAATATTAAATAGAATTTTTTGACTCTTAAAACACTAATGAGAGATTAACATTTTGTGGGAAGGAAAAAAAGCAGCCCTACACTTTGGTGGCTTGTGGTGACATATATACCCAGAGATTGTTTTATAAAGAAGAGATATACCAGGATCCCAGACCTGTTTCTACAACCTTTGGTTTGCTTTATTTGTATTATGAGGAAATGGACATTTTCCTTTGATCTTGCAACCGAGGATGAATTTCTAAGAAAACAAGTCGGTTTTTTATTTTGTTCAATATGCATTTTGAATAATTTAATACCATATTGACTTCAAAATACATTCCTTATAAATATTCAAAATTAAATATAATTATATAACTTGGTATATCTATATCTATATAAGTCATAAGGAAGTAGAACCTCTAGCTGATAATTTTGCCTTTTCCACCTGCCTCACATCACAATAGTTTGTAGAACAAGCTTATCTTCCCTGGGGCCAGCCTGTTTTTGTAAACAAAGTTTCACTGTAACACAGCCATGCCCATTGGTTTAGTATTATCTATGGCTGCTGTTGCCCACAAAGGTAAGAAAGAAACCATACAGTCCACAAAGCCTAAAATATTTAGCATCTGACCCTTTACAGAAAACCTTTACCATATAGCATTTCCTTGGATACAGACCTTCAAATGCTTCTGCGGTTGGTCCCATTCAGTTTCTCTAATTTGATACAGTAAAAATTGGTAGAATTTTTTGATTGGGGCAAGGGAATTTATGATTTAATATATGCTGTAGTAAAAAGCCAAAAATAAAAAGTAATATTGGTTATATGACCTTATTTGGAATTTCAAGGCTAACACACTTGAATTACCCGTTTTTGTTTTTGTTTTTTTCTTCCACAAGCTATTTGAAAATCAAGGGTTATTGCTTTCTTGGAGATGCAATTAGGACTCTTGACTTTTTATTAGAGTTTTAAGATGCTTGTTTGAGGGCAGTTTTGTTTTGTTTTGTTTTTAAGTTTTATTTATTTATTTAACAGAGGAAGACACAGTGAGAGAAGGAACAGAAGCAGGGGGAGTGGTAGAGGGAGATTCAGGCTTCCCGCTGAGCAGGGAGCAGGTTTTTTATATAGAAACTATCAACAGTACCATAGGCAGTAGTTAGAAAAGCCATTAACAATATAAGGCCAAATACAATCATTAGCAACAAGGGGCTAAGAAAGTAAATTACCTTCTGCTCAGCAGGGAGCCTGCTTCCTCCTCTCTCTCTGCCTGCCTCTCTGCTTACTTGTGATTGCTCTCTGTCAAATAAATAAATAAAATCTTTAAAAAAAAAAAAAGAAAGTAAATTACCTACTAGCATTATTACTATCTCCTAAGAAATGGAGCATTATTAAGATCTGTGTAAATGTACTAAGTATGCCCTTGGGGTTTTCAATAATCAAAGGCTCATGAAATTATACTATTTTGTCCATATATATGCAAATTTTTCTATGGAGAATAACTAAATAATTTATAGTTCTTAATTCTTAAACAACTACCAAAGAAAAAAGATAATACTGAATGCTTAAATGAAAAAAAAGTTCATGTCAGCAAACTAGAGGCCAGAATATATTTAAACTCACTGTCATAATTATTGATGATTAGTCCCATTCTCAAAATAACTAAGACATACTTTTCAGGACCCCAAAATAAAGAATGGGATATTTAAATAGCATGCTTTGGAGGTAACAGTTATGTAGCATGTCTCTAATACCTAGTACAAACTTGACTGTATAATTAAAACAAACAGAAATCTTAAGAGTTTCTATTTCTTTTGACAGATAAATTAGGAAATTAATGCCTTTTTTTTTTTTTTTTTTTCCGAAGGAAGCCATGAACAAACCAGGCCATCTTAGACTATTTGTGACAAGGATTATGCAGGAATTTGAAAGTGACACATTTTTTCCAGAAATTGATTTGGAGAAATATAAACTTCTGCCAGAGTAAGTAAAATGTTATTAATTTGTCTGAAGCACTTTTGGATTTCCTGCTTAAGAATTATAGAAAGAGTAATACTCTTCAGATTGAATTTGGAGTAGTTATGTTTTCTATAGACAAATACATTGGGAATTTTTGGAAATCTGCTTTAACAAACTTGGGAATGTTTAAGTTCTAATCATCTTGCTGAAGTCTAGAGAGTAGTCATTAGTTCATTCCACGAAATCTGTGCTGAGCGTCAGATGCTGTCTTGGGCACTGGAGAAGCAGTGCTTACAAGACAGATGCTATCCCTGCTCTGTAAGATTAGATTCTTTGTAGTAGAGGAAGAGGGTAGCAAATGAGAAACATCAAGAAAGTTGCTATATGGAGAATTGAAATACAGTGATGTGGTAAATACTATATTGTCTGAGAAGTCCTCTCTGAAGAGTGGTATCTATGCTGAGATCTAAAGGCAAGAAGCCAGCCATGCAAAGAGCAGAGAAGAGCATTCCAGAAATCAGAAATAGTGTAGACACCAGAGGGCAGGAACAATTATGGTGTGCTCCCTGACCCTGCAAGCCACTGTGAGCATTGTAAGCAAGCAGGAGGCCAGAAGGGGTCAGACCAGATGCAGGTTTAGAGGGTTTGAATAGAGTGCGAGCAATACCGTTCCAGCTGTTTGTGGAGAACGGAAGGGAGGGAGCAAGAGTGAATCTGAAAGACCAGTTGGCTATGAGAGTTGAAGCAAAAGATTAAAGGATTTGGATAGCAGTGGTAGAAATCAACAGAAGGGGTTACACTTGTTTTACTATGGAGTTGTGATTTTAACATGAAACTGCCTGATTTTGAAGACTCCTAGCATTTTAGTTTAAAGCACTTTTCATACTTCAGTATGAAAAATAAAAATAGGGACGCCTGGGTGGCTCAGTTGGTTAAACAGCTGCCTTCGGCTCAGGTCATGATCCCAGCCTCCTGGGATCGAGTCCCGCATCGGGCTCCTTGCTCGGCAGGGAGCCTGCTTCTCCCTCTGCCTCTGCCTGCCATTCTGTCTGCCTGTGCTAGCTCTCTCTCCCTCTCTCTCTGACAAATAAATAAAATCTTTAAAAAAAAAAAAAAGAAAATTAAAAATAATAAAAGAAAATTTAAAAAGCACTTTTCAGCTCTTGGCTATGGAGAGTAAAAGATCAATTGTATCCACACTTTCAGACTAGGTTTTAACACATTCTTTCAAATAGTCTCAGTTGAATCCAGTCATTATTTAATTTTGAGTTTGTTTTGGGAAATACCTCCTAAAAGAACATTCAGAGTCAAGTCTAAATACATGGATGGCCAAGCTTTAAAGTAACCGTCCATAGAGTAATACATAATAGTCATGAATCTAATGAAGTGTGTGACTGATTTCCTTGGGCTTTTAACTAGCTATAAAGAAAACTGAAAATTTTAAGAGCTCTATAAGTATTCTAAACAGCTGAAGTACAGCCTTTTGCTTAGTCTTCAAAGGTGACCTCATAGAAAAAATCACACTTAGTGATTTTGTATATATTTATGAAATCAGCTATATTTCTTTGTCACATCTTATATGTTTTCTCTTATACGGCTTAGGTTGCTGATTCTCATATTATGTGAATATTGATCTCTGCTGTCCCTCATTCCATCTTTGCTGCTAACAAAAAGAAAAGATTACTGTGTGAATTTACCTTTCCAAATCCTGTTGCTCTCCATCAGACCTCTTTTCAGAACTGACTCTGGGATCCTTGATAACTTGAAATATTTTACTACCATCCTGGCTCTTGGCTCTTAGAAATGAAGAATTTAACATCTTTACTGAGTGATGATTCACACATCACAGCATTCACCCATTGAAAGTATATGTTCAGTGGTTTGAATATATTCAGATTTGTGCAACCATTACTACAGGGATTCCCTTAAAGAATTTTGCTATCTAAGCAGTATTTATTTTTCTAAACCATGAATGTGTGATGTCTTTCTCCTTATTTAGATACTATTATAAATGGAGCTTTTTCATCATTTTATTTTCAAACTGTTCATTGGTAATAAAACCAATAGAATCAATTGTAATAGATATACAATTGATTTTTGTTTATTGATCTTGTATCCTACAACCTTACTGAACTCATTTATTCTAATGTTAGTGAATTCCTTAAGATTTTCTGTATGCAGGATATACATTTACAAATAGAGGTAGTTTTACTTCTTCCTAATCTGCATTTTTAAAATTTCTTTTTCCTACCACTTGCTCTGGCTAGACCCTCCTGTGCAGTTACAACCAGAAATGGCAAGAGTAAGACATCCTTGTCTTGTTCCTCCTCTTAAGGGAAGGCATTCAGTCTTTTACCATTAAGTATATTACCTGTGGGCTTGTCATACATGCCATTTATCTCATTGAGGAAGATTTGTTCTATTTCTACTTCATTGAATATTTTTATCATGAGGATGTGTTGGATTTGTCAAATGCTTTCTCTGAGTCTATTGAGATAATCATGTGGTCTTTGTCTTTAAAAGGTTATTAATACGGTGTATTACATTGATTTTCATGTTAAACTATTCCTACATTTCCAGGATAAATACATTTTGTAGTAATATACAGTCCTTTCTATATGTTCCTGAATTCAGTTTGCTAATATTTTGTTAAGGACTTTTGCATTTATATTCATAATGGAATATTGGTATATAATTTTCTTTTTCTATAATGTCTTCACCTGGTTTTGGTGTCAGAAGAATTACCAGCCTCACAGAATGCATTAGGAAATGGTTTCATTCCTCTTGTATTTTTTTGGAAGAGTTTGTGAAGAATTGGTATTGGTTCTTCTTTAAATGTTTTAGGAAGTGGCGCCTGGGTGGTTCGGGTCATTATCCCAGGGTCCTGGGTTCTCTGCTCAGCAGGGAGCCTGCTTTCCCCTCCCTCTCTGCCTGCCTCTGCCTATTTGTGATCTCTCTCTCTCTGTCAAATAAATAGATAAAATCTCTAAAAAATAAAATAAATGTTTTAGGAAGCATTTTTAAGATTGGGGGGCGGGCAGACAGAAGAAGGAGAGAGAGAATCCCAAGTGGAGTCCATGCTTAACCATTGAGCCTGGCATGGGGCTCCATCTTATGACTCCGAGATCATGACCTGAGCCAAAATCAAGAGTTGGATGCCACTCAGACACCCCTAGAAAAAAAAATTTTTTTAAAGATTTTATTTATTTATTTGACAGAGAGAGATCACAAGCAGGCAGAGAGGCAGGTAGAGAGAGAGGAGGAAGCAGGCTCCCTGCTGAGCAGAGAGCCCGATGCGGGGCTTGATCCCAGGACCCTGAGATCATGACCTGAGCCGAAGGCAGCGGCTTAACCCACTGAGCCACCCAGGCGCCCCAACCCCTAGAAAATTTTAATTGTGGGTAGATTCAGATAGGAAATTGCTAGCCAAAGCCAAAATCCAAGGAAATTGCTCCAAAATGAACATTCTAAACAAGGCTATGAAAGAAAATGAAAAGTCTTTTTTCATTGCATCATTTGATGGTTTTCTTACCTTCAAGCCTGTACCAACATAATAATAGTCTCTTAAAGGTGAGGTGGAAGGAATCCCCTAAGGATAAATCTAGAGTAGGTCAATCTTTGATGAAGTAGAGAAAAAGGAAAACAAAGGGAATATACCTTGTTCCTGGAAGTTTGTAATGTTGCTCAATTCTTGAGCTGCTTTCTCTCCAAATTTCTATATACTGAGGAACTTAGAATTGCTCCCTACTGTCCAGAAATGAACTCTGATCATTCTCTACCCTCCCCTCCTTCTTTCCCCACAGCTACACTTCATTTAGACCCATTATCCCTATTAGTGGGCCTCTTGTGGTTCCGTAAGTTTCAGTTCAAACACAGTTATCTTTTATTAACACCATACTTCCTGATAATAAAAGCACTAGTAAAAGGAAATAAAGATGAGAGGACTGTTGTAAAGTGCAAAGAGAATAAAATTAGAAGTTAGGTGAAACCACAAGCGGTAGAAACCTAAAAGCAGAAATTAGTCTTAACAAAGTAAGGTTTGACTTTGTGTCTGCCTTTTTCCCCCATGGGTCATTGTCTGCAATTCATTTTTTCTTTTTTTCTTTTTCTTTTTTTTTTAATGACAGCACCATGCCAGCCTGTCCTCTAAGGCTCTGCCCTCATTCTTCTTGTCTGGAAGAAATCTTTCTGCCTCAGACAATTTCACACAAGGCTTCAACCAAACCAGCAGGCCCAAATATTTTCTATCAGCAGTTTTCTGCTTAATGAGCCCCAAACAGGTTTTCCTTTTAGTTAACAATCTTCTGTATTAACGTTTCAGTTAAAGAGGATAAAGACCAGACGAGGTCTTTGAAACAGTAGTTGGCTCCAGAGCTGGTACAGATGTCCCTTATCAATGGACAACTCGAGGAAGGTTTTTGGCCTACGTCTCCTCTTCTGTTCCCATGACGTCCTAACAAGTCAACAGGATCCTTATTCATGTTATTTGTCTGTCTTCTGAGCCTGTGCTTGCTATAGAGCTTTCATTTTATTTTAGTTGTGAGTTGTTTCTTATGGATAACTGCTTTAGGAACTCTGTTTACCTATTAGACTTTACATTAAATCATCTCTGTAATAGTCTCATGATACTTTGTCATTTCAGATCTTAATATCTTTTCATATTCATTAGATTCCTTACTGCTTGAAGATTCTAGAGCTGGATTTCTTTCTGGGTGGTTCATATTTTTCCAAATCCTGTTAGGCTTAAACTCAGTTCATATGTGGCTCCTAGGCCATTGGGAAATATGATGGTGGGATAGTTATGGTCATTATTAAAATAGACTGAATATGTGAATATTGTAGAAAGTAAAAGTAAAGATAAATAGAAATGAATTTCAGTTTCACAGAGCAGATTCACATTAATACTGCAGCTAGTGACCACAGCCAGCCAATAGCATGGTATTTCTGTTACTATTATTCATGGTTTTTTTTTTTTTTTAAGATTTTATTTATTTATTTGACAGAGATCACAAATAGGCAGAGAG